CATTTTCCTGTTAAATTCTATCTTGTGGGAGAGGAGAGAAGAAAGTATCATTATGGTTTTTCAATTAAGTGAACCCTGGGCAGAGAGGGATGCGTCAGGATGGGAAAATTAATGTGCTGTGGACAGATGTTTAGTAGTAATGGCCGAAAGAGGCCTGCAGAGATACACATCCCATCCATTGCACCCAGCTGCGGCTGGAGGGGCAGGCATGCACAGAAAAAAACAGAGAGGCCAATAACTAAATGCACTTTGGTTCAATCACTCATATGCTGATGCATACAATAATGATAAACACACAGTACTGAGCATTTTCATATGCACCACACAAACCTACAAAAGCTTTTGTTGTGCATGTGTATTTATGTCCAGTGCTGGCCGCAGCACATACAGCCCTCAGTTAGGAAAAAATGGACACAGAGAATGATTGGCTGAAAAAGCTTGACTGTGGGAGGTGACCAGATGCATGTTAAGTGACATGCCCCATATGGAGAGATGGAGTAAGATATATAAAGAAGTAGTTTACGTAATCACTTAAAACCTCCTTGGGCAACAACAACATTTTGAGAGAGAAATGACTAATAAGGAGCCAAAGAAAGCTGAAAATCACAGATGGCGGGTAGTCAGACACAAACTGCATTATTATCACAAAGCCCCCATTCTCTTTTCACTATCTATTTCCGAAAGAGACACACCTGGTTTCATCACATCAGTGTTGTAGCGAGACGAACTGCTTCCAGACATTCTTACTGCCGCCTCGTCAAAACAACTCTCATAAAATTGGTCTCTGTGTTTCTCTCTCACACATGCATCTTTCACAGCCTGTTGTCACACAGCTCTCCAGTAATTACCAGGGTGGCCGCCCTCCTACTGCCCTTCGATGGATTGTCTGTGCAACCATGGGTTCGCCCCTGCAGCCATAACTCTGAACCTATGTCTGCTTACAGCTTTACACTAACACAGCAGCCAGCAAATTGGCTTCGAGAAAGACAGAGACAGAAAAGAAAATCAAACAAGGGTTGTGACGGAGATTTAGGTATGTGGGTGCACAGACATGAAAAAGCATCAAAGTAGACACATACTTATTCACTCTGACTATTTGTCACTTCCCTGTCTTCAAGGAGTAATCTATAATGCTGAGATACCTCTGACCAACAGGCAGGCAGGTGTCTTTCCTAGGAGAGATATGAAACTACAGTACAGAGGCAGACGGATAGACAGAAACACACACACACAACCTACACACACATTGCTTCTGAGATAATTTTGACAGGGGAAATATGGTTGAAGAAGAGTGGAATGAAGATGAGATGAAATAGGAAAGGGAGAGTAGGGAGACATAAACTGATAACAGTTTGATAAAGGTTGATAACGTCAGGAAAGACCAAAAATAGATGACAGAACGGATGGAAGGAAAAGGTTTTGCAACTGGCAGATCAATACAAACATCTACAATCTGCATCCAGAGAGTAGACATTTTTAAATGACTTTTGCCAGCTCTTGTTTTCAGTTTATATTGTTTAAATATGACATTAATCAGAGGGTAATCAACAAAGAAATGACAGTCTTCGTTTTTTTTCCTCAAAAATTC